CTTCTTTTTTACTAATGTTATTACTATCACCTATTATAAGAATCACTGTTGTATATTTATCAAAGTTGCAACCACTTAACAGTGTAATAATTTGACTAAAAGTAGCACTCTATTAAGCCCCATGTACCCTCTACCACTCCACCTACTCCACTGCGTCCACTAAGAGAATTCAGACGTCGCATTCACCGAAGCAAAGCAGAAATACCCTACTATTGACGATATTATATCCTGATTGTGATTTATACTTCAAACCTCTCAAACTTAGTTCGATAAACTTTGTTTTTCCAGGAATTATTATAACAATTCCAATGAAATTGTGCAAATACACATGTTCACAAAAATAAGTTACTAAGGGTGGAAAGCGAATTCTTTTTGCATAGGTAACTTGAAATAATTTTTTTGACCTTTTTAACTCAGAATTTTTTTAAATACAACCGATGAAAAATATCCTAAAAAAACAACTGTTGGCTTGGCTGTATGACAGTTTTGTTTAGTCACTTTGATATTGTACGCAAAGGTAAATGTTTAGTTTAGCATAGCTGTTAAACGGTTTGGATTTTCATACGGATATAATGTTTCCTTTTATTTTTTATTCTTTGTTAAAAAATATCCTAAGTATTGAATTTAGCGTAACGATTGTTAAATAATGTAAATCTGATAAATAAAGGCAAATTTAGTGTACACTTCAAAACTCTTATATTATAAGACTTTATTTGTTCTTCCTAGAGCTCAAAACATTTGACTCATAATCTCAGTACAGAGTACTAAAAAAAAAGTTCGTATTTTTTTTTTTAATATATAATAGACACGCGCATAATCAGTAATTTTCCCATTTAAATTTGAAGAAAATATTCCACCTCTGAGGGTGGCAAACTAAGGAATGAATGACTTTTGAGGTCGTTTTTTTAGTACTCCACACTGAGATTATTTAAAACACGGCAGAAAGTGACCGAGATGGGAACGCACTTTTTTCCGAGTTATGCTGAGTGCTTTTTTTTTAAATGAGACAGTACGGGAAAATTCGAAACCCTGGAAGATGATACATAGGACCAATTTCATGTGAGTAACACTTTGTATATAGTGCTTCATACTACACCTACGCGGAAAATAAAAAACTAACTCTATATTAATCATTGACTTACAAATAAATGGACGACGGGTCTAATACAAAAACCACGAAAAAAATGTCCCAAGTCAACCTATTCGAAATTTAAATTGTAATGTCATCGCAGTATCGCGCTGTCAGTCGAACAAATGAAGACTAAAGCGGAGTTTGGCGCTCTGTATACGATTTTAGCGCCTTACAAGTGCGGACACTTTTTAGCGCGGACCCGACGTCCTTATAATTGTAAGTCAATGATATTAATAGTACTTTTTAACAATACATTACAAAGAATATTTTTCTAAATATTCCAATGTAAAAACTCTTCATACGTCTTGTTCTTTATTTCTGTATTTCTCACGAAATAGGTTCTCAGTAACTGTTATTGCAGTTTCTTTTAGCGGCGTTACTAAATCTTCACTATCACTCGTCAACATTTTGAGTAAAATCATTATTGCAAAAATATAATCTGAAAATATAGCACCCAAATCCCGCGCGCGTTTTTCAAATTGTTCTTTTTTTAATTATTGATCAGAAAACGCAAGAGGCCACAATCATTGGCAAACTTGGAGTAAAAACTTTTTGGTGTTTGACCTGTAATAATGGTTACCAGTGGTTACAATTCAAAAAAAAACAGCACCATAGAAATGGATATAGACTTTTCCTCCTGCTCAACGCGTTATAAAATAATTTTCATACAATTTTTCCTCCTGCATTTTAAAACGATAGATTATAACATACTTTCTGATTCATGGTTAGAAGAGTAATTACGACTCAATTAATATACAATTATTGAAATCCACAAATCATTATTAAATCACTTTTTCAAATGTTTACATTAAGTTCCGGTTTTGAAGGGTAAAATTACTGGTGAAATTATATTACTGGTGGTATTCCTGGACTGGTGAAATTACAGGCACACGGGACTTATCAACTTTCATCTAAGGATGATGGGCGCAGAGGCAGTACCTCTCAAATCTTTACCATTTGAAGCTCCGAGTGGCACTGCAACTTTACAGGACAGGCGTGTCGCTTGCCACCAGGCGCACTACTTGTTCATACCGTCACTTAATAACATTTAAAAAAACCCGTTTCGGGCAACGTTGTGATGTTTTCCGTTACATTGTGCATTTTGATGAATTATTATATACTTAATATATTCAGGATGCTGTTGCGGCTGCCGTGTTCTATAGCGCGTCAGGAATGTTCAAGGACGCTCATGTCGATGGATTTGTCGACATCACGAGAAAGAGAGCGGCATTTTTGATGCGCAGAGTGCGTGGTAGCGGTGACCACATCGTGAGTGGTATTGCTGGCAGGGTCCAGGGTTCATTTCTTGAACACTGGACTAAACGTCATTCATACACTAAACTCAGTACATATTTATAAGTCGTAATTACTAACATTCTTCAAAGTGAGTAGGTCTCAGGATGAACCTGGACAAAAGGAAAGGTATGTTCAACGCACATGTGACCCCGGGACCTGTAGTAGGTAGGACCGTAGGTGGGATCACTCTTGAGGTTGTGCACAAATACGTCTACCTTGGCCAAAATATCCGGCTTGTCAAACACAACCTCGAGAAGGAAGCCGACACCGACGAAACTTTTCCAGGTTCGCTTTGGCTATCACAAATTAAAAAAATATTTTCCGCAAATAAAAGTCGAATTTTCACTTGACACAATACGTGTAATCAACAAACCACCGTCACCATGACAACCATAAAAGTGTATAAAATGTACAAAGGAGTCTGTAACAGTCCCATTGTCACCGAGAAGTCAGAATCTGGTGAGGGCTTCCCATGAAAATCGAAACTAGCCGTCAAGCAAACTTTTGAAGTCGATTATTTATTTTCAATTAAAAAGTTACAATTATTGTTACTTATAGTACGTATATATGATACTGATATCAGTTTAGTAACAGCCTCGTCTGGGCCAAAAATAACTTACTTTCAATTAACACACTCAGATTGTGTAATATTTGTTTATTCCTTTGAAATATACAGTTTACGTAACAAATACATCCTCATGTTTTATTCTTAGACTTCTACATGACCACAGTTAATACTCGTAGTCATGAACATTTGTTAAATATACTATAGTCACTGATGCATTATATAACAGACAATAGAGTTTACTGGTTTTTTATAGTAGATAAGTAACCTATTAACTATTACCGTTTATTTGTATGTAGTTATAGGTATTATTTTATATCGATTGGATGGGAGGTTCTTTATAACCTATCTGTAAATACCTGAAATAAGTACAGCTTTTAATTATTAATTTTCAGCATATTTATTGGAGTTGATTGAAAAGAGGTTAAGAGTTGACGAAAATGCAGTATTAATGCCTCATAACATACCAAATATGTATTTTTTTGTCGTAATGAAAATAAAGAATTTCTACATGAATTAACTATACGTATATCCTGCAGCAAGAAACATCGGTTATGTACTCAATGGCAACGAAACTATAATCTACATGGGTTTAATATCGCCCCCACTTATTGTAGAGTTCTAATTAATTGGGTAATAACTCTAAAATTATACCAATTACGTGCTTATGCCATTATAGACTTTTGATTAAGATATATGTTAAACATCAAAATTTCAGATAGTTTGACCATAACTACATATTATGTATGTCGAATAAATATCACTTTATTGAACTACAGATGTTTGAAGCTTTGTTATAAAACTGTTCAAATTAGAATGCTGTGTCGACCCCAAATATGTAATGGATTAGGGCTGCTTGCATAAGAATGGTTATGATATAAAATCTTCCATCTACCAGCCTGAACTATATCAGATTTTGTCAAACATGATGTGGTAAGAAACAGTAAAATTTTCTGCACTTTTTTTAATGTTTAGAGATTTATAGTTGTTTTGTACATATTACTAAACTTAGCAGTTCGAAACCCAAACTTCTACCCCCCCATTTTTGTGAAAACCATTCAAATCTTTTATATTATCTCACATTCTAGTTTCTTATAGGTACTAAGATTTTATTCTTACCTTCGAAGCATGAGGGAATGCAAATTTTTTGAGTATTTTTAAAATAAAAACATTAAATAAAAACACTAAACAGCTTAAAGAAAGTGTAATAGGGGTTATTTCTTAAGATATCCCATTCGATCTAGAAGATGACTGCTTTCGAAATCTCTATTTTAGAGTGGTTACACACGGCGACGTTTAGACGCAATGCAAACGCGATACATGTTGTAAAATCGTTAAGTAATCTATTTATTTAATATATTTATTAATTCGACTTTTAAATTTACAATCAACGAAACGAACAATGTGCATAAACCTATTCAGATTTTTCGTACATAACGATTCAACATACATAATGATGCAATATATGCATATGCAGTCGCGCGTTCGCATAGATGCAATAGCCTACAAAATAATCGTAAGTGTATCGATGCAAACGCGCGTTTGTGAAACACGCGAATAAAAATCGACTTATACCACTTTTAGATTCCATCATTGAAAATTAACATTCAATACACTTTCAACTACATAGAATAGAAACGAACAACCAAGTTGTAACGTACAACTATACTAGATTTCAAGTTGATAGCAGTAAAGTACATATAGGTACCTAGTTTCTGAAATATAGAATCATTGTGACTTACCGACGAATAGCAAGGTGTCCCCAAGAGTTTATTTTTTTAAATTAACAAATCTCACTAGTCTATTTTTGAAGCAATGAATTTAAATACAAAGTAAATTCGATTAGGCCTTTAAATAAATTTAAAGAATGCATATAATTATATTTTAACTAAGTTTTCCTCATTTATACCTTTGAGTGGAATTATTTCTTTGTTTATACAATCGTTACGTTAGTTATGTACAAAATCGATCATACTCACGGCCACTGACAAAAACAGATAAAAAGAGGGGTCATCATGGAAACAAGTTAGTCTGAGATCACCGGTCGCACGCGCAACAACAAACATGAAGCTTATTTTAACACGTGAGTTTTTTTTTCTTAAACGTAGTTGTCTACCGTTTTATTGATTTCGATGTTAATGTTTGAAGTTTCATGGTTTGATAATTTGCTTATGTATGGTGTACCTTTGAAAATCTTAAATATATTTAAAGATAGTTCAAACATCGTGATAAACAAACTGCCTATTTTTAAATTGAATTTTAACTAAATAAAGTGCAATTATGTACATAGTCCAGCACTCTGCTTAACTCATGATGGTGTGACCATACGCTGATTAGTTGTAAGAAGAAACACAAAATTACAGTTTTTTCGGATGTAAATCGAATTAAATTATACGAGATTTTACAGTTTTTATGTTTCCAATAAAGACAGACATTTTATACTTAGTTACTTACGTACCTTACTATGTTTTAGTATTTTAAAACTATTGTTATCTGTATAAAGTGAAGGTAGTATCCAAACTCGTATAGCGAACTTACAATGTCGCTGATTTTTTCATTAGAACATTAAATTTCATAGGAAATAAACTTTGTTAAATACTATTATTATTATTATTATTAACGCTAGGCTAACATTTCAACGTAAATATTTGAAGATACATTGTGTATTTGTACCCAAAAAGCGTCTACCCGCGTCTTTGTTAGTTATTCAAGTAAATTTTGCTTTCGTTTCCATAATATAACATCTACATAGGATTTGTCAACTTATGTCTCAGGGTGTTGAGCGCAATGGCGGTGCCAGACCTTTGCGATTTAATGCTCTGAGTGGCACTGCATTTGCTATGGACAGGCGTGTCCCTTACCACCAAGAGCACGACTTGTTCAAACGTCATTTGGTATCATAAAAAAAAATTTCATTTATAATAGCGAACAAAGATATCAATAGGTACACTTTTACGTAAATTATTAATCAAAGATTTTTTTTCAAACAAACCGACGTTTCGGGCCCTTTATAGGTCCCATGGTCACGGTTTCACCACCCTACTTTTTAGACCAGCAGTGAACTTCTAAAAAGTCTTCTAAACTGTATACATTTCTGTTGATGACTTTAAAACGGCATGTACCAATATTGTATAACCTAGGTACCACACTAAGCTGATCTTTATATGTATACATTTTAAGTTTTCAAGTCCGGTTGTTACAAAACGTGTTCCAGTGTATCTGTAGATACACTGGAACACGATTGTTAGTTACAGTCAAGGTTGCATAGATCATTTATAAAAGATAATTTTGTTTTGTTTCTTATTTACTTCACATTATCACAGCAATTATTTCATCAGTTTGATTTGAACGGAACTCTAGAATTGCACAATGGGTAACAATTTAATGATCATAGCTTTGCTAACTAAAACAAACATACCAAATTAATTTCTGTCATATTTACCGTCTGACTGATTGTTTTTAATGTAACGTTCCGGGTTTTTAGGGTGCTAGTCAAATTACAGGAACGTGAGATTTTTCAGCTTTTAGTCTCAAAGCGACAGGGGTAGAGGCAGTGTTCCTCAGATATTAGCGGTTTCAAGCTCTGAGTTGCCACTCTATGCAATTGCTATAGACAGACTTGTTAGTCCCGTCACTTGGTCTCATAAAAAAAGTATGAAATTGTAGGCTTGGGCTTTTCCGCAATCTGACCAGATTCTATTATGAATGAATAAACATTCCCGGTTAGAATACCATAGGTAATATAAATAAAATCACATTAATATCGCAATAATCGTTCCAACATGGCCACAACGTTTTTAAAGGCAATTTTAGAATGTATACAAACCAACCAAACTCCCAGAAACCGAAAATATAATAGCTATTCTCAATGCCTTTGTCAACAGATATTTTATTCGATAATTCTAAGTGTCATTAAATTAGTATACCAATGTCTATAGTCTGTTACGTTACCACAAAACTCGTTAAAGGCCATTGGTAGTTATTAGTATGGCGATATTCATTATCTATAAAGTTCTATCTATAATTGAGTCTCGGCATATTTTACCTAATCAGAAACAATATTTATACACAATAACATTGAATTCTGGGAACTTAACATAGCAGATTGATATTACAAGTTGTACCGCACTTGGGAATTTCCCTATATCCAGACGACTAGAATCAACGATTACATCATGCCAGTGTCAACTCTGCTGTTGACAACACTCCGTTTGAATGATACCTATTTTAAACAGACAGATATGGACACAAGTAATGTCGTCGGTGTTTTGTAGAAAAGGCGTAACCGACATTTCGAAAAATTTTTCAGGGGAGAATGTTTTAGGTTGTAAAGGCTGTTTTCAAATATTTAGCCTGTTTAAAATTTAATTTAGTTTTTAATTACATTTCTACAAAACACCGACGGTTCCGTAGCCGTTCGAAAATGTGTAATTTAAAATTTCCATAGCAGTCGTTTTAATGTTCATCATTGTCTAATTAGGAACCAGTTTTGTACCACCAATCAAATATAGTTCGAAAGCTATTGCCTAAAACTTGTTTCATATTAAGTATCGGTACAATTTAAAAATAAAATTTATTACCATAGTCGTCTGACTAATTTTAATTTGTTAATCTACAAACATCTACCTACAAATTTGAAAAGTTTTTTAAACGACGGAAGTGTTTCATATGGTTCAGTCGTCCTTTTTACATTTGCTTAAGTTTTGCTGAATTTACTAGGTAATTTTTTCATTAATAACGATCATGTTTACCCATTCACGTTGTATTTCAATGTCAATTCTAATGTAACAATGATATTGATAATAGTGATATTGATAATACGAAATGAATGATTTTATTGTATTCGTTACATCAAAACTCACTAATTTTGGACACTATTATACATTGTTGAAAATAGTTGAGTTTAGGTATAAACGCCAACTCCTGACTCAATGTTAATAGCAATATTGCGTCACTGCAATATTGCGCGCTCTCTCTGTTGGTTTATTTTTTTGGCATCGATTATTGTAGAATAAAATTATAAATTGAAAATCTTTATCAATAGTGTAGTGTTTTCTTTTTCTTTAAACAGTAATTTAGATACGTTCTGCAGTTAATTTCGTCTGCCAACCATTAATTAAAGCTACCAATTAACATAGTTGCGCATGGGATAATTTCCATAATTATTTTATTTATACTTATTACAAATGTCACATTTGCTTATTAATTGGTTCAGTAACAGTAAAGGTCGTCGAAAAGCACTATGCAGTCATAGGGGCTGCACAGTGCTTTTCGAAAAAAAACATTGTGTTCAGTCAATTAAAGTTTAGTAATCGATTATTAAATAGAATATTTCAAACGTAATCGAACGAGTATCTAAGTGTAAGGATTTGAAGGAGAATTTAATTTGAAAATTTAAATATGCTTATATAGGTTATGTAAGGAAAACCGCTAGTATGACTCAATTGAACAAACCGATTAATTCAATTAATTAATCGATTTGTAGTTGGCATTACAATTGGTCATCACTAAACCGTCTATGGTCGGGTCAGTGGCTTGTTTGTTTAGTTTTTATTTAAAATGGATTGAAACGAAGTATAGTAACAATCGCGCCACTTCTAATTTTCCTACAATATATAGTCAGCAAAGGTGGCGCGCGCATGGCGCGACTGTGGCGTTGCAGCTGCGTTTCAAAATATTGTATGATAATTTTAATTATTTATTATTAATTATTAATTAATTAATAATGGCGCGGCTGCAACGCCACCGATGCGCTACTGCAGCGCTTCAAAAAGTATCTAATTTTGTGGGCGCCTTAAGAACTTAAAGCTGTAATCATATTGTCATGATAGTACCTATGTGGTATTTGATGGTACCCATGTTACATATAATATTCTATTTCAAAATACTTTTGAAGTTTAAATAGGGATAAACAGAACACATTCAAATATTTAATAAAAGAAACAAATGTATGAAAAAATGGATAAAAAGAATAAGTGTAACTTATGTATAATAACACTTATTTACTTGTTTATAGTGTCGATAGTGTCTTGCGACCGCGTCAAATTTAAGGCAATTTGTTATAGCATAATATACGACGACGCCCGTACCGATAACCAAAATTACTTAAATTTGTCATATAAACAATTTTACGTGATCTATAGTTATTATAATACTATAACCACAGTGTAAAGAGCATAATAGGAAATAATTGGTTAGACTGTGCTATTACTGTAAACCATAGTTTCCCAAAATGGCCCCTACCCAGTGGGCGTTGAAGAGTCCTAAGGGGTGCTTTTTTATAATAATATCAACCTACCGCATTTCAAAACAAACACCTGAATTATCTATATAAACTACACTACGAATATATAACTTTTTTTGCTTGTGATATTTTGTGTTAAGTTAATGTAAAAAATACGTGTTTTCAGTTATTTCTTGTAGTCGTGGGCGTTGAAATTTTTTATGTTGCCTAAAATGGCGGTGAGCCAAAAAGTTTGGGAACCTATGCTGTAAACGCTAGAGCTGTAACTATGCCTAGGTATCATTATATATTTTGTATAATTAGGTTGAGGAAAACCACACTGTATCAATGAGTCATGGTGAATTACAACGATAGGAAATGAATGAATTGTCCCTTCCAAGTACTGGATATACACACAGATATCTAACTATTTATTAAGATGGGTCACACTATTTAAAAAAAGCCACTCTACTGTATTTACTACTATTGAACAATAATATATTTCAATAATTATCATACATTCACTCTGATGTTTCCATGGGAATAAAAATTATTTAAGCATGTTAAATTTGTTTTGACAACTTGTAATAATTAAAAAATCTAATATATTTATTACTATATCATTCACTATATCAGTCATTAATATTATGAAAATTGAAATAATAGTAAAATAAATATTTTTGCACAGACGATACCAAAACTTTGTAGATACCTTAGGTCGTGTTCTTAGGGTTTCGTTATTGCAGTCATCAGCAGTGACAAAGGGACATGTAAAGACCTGACACGTTGTTTTGTTTGAAGAAGCAAATATACTGGATTTAGATAAGAAAGTAGTATAATTTCCAATGTATACCTTATGTGCATTCAGCCCACCTATAGTTAAAAAGGAAAGCCAAAATATGTGTATACTTCGTTAAGATACCGTTTCGAATAGCAATACAAATATCTCTTCAGCGACCGTCTAGCATTAGACAGATCAAAGAATTTAGGAAAAAATACTAATGAATCCATACATTTTAATAACATCATCGTTGGTGTATTACAGTCCAAGGATGGACAATGCGTCCGTCAAGCTGCGGCAAAATAGTGTTTTTTTCTGAACCTTCCTTATCGAACATCTACCAGCCTTTTTCGGGTAGCGGTTCGTGTAACTGGACGGGCCGTCATTTCTAAATCAATACATACAATTATTACACAATGATTTAATAATACAATACTTTTTAAATCTCTATTTTGCAGTATCGGTTCTAGTGGCTGCAGTCATGGCCGAACAAGATCCGAAGCAACTGGACAATCTCCTTAGAGAGGGAAATAACCAATTTACAGCAAGAATGTTTTCCGTAAGTCTTTACTTCTTTTCGCTCATATATAGATGTTATATCCACCTTAAACAAAAAATAAATTGAATGTACTAACGCCATTTTTCCCGTGAAACGCTGATACATATTGAAAAAAATACACGATCATCTCTTCATTTTAAAGGGAATTACAAATGACACTTGTTTAATTAAACATATATCCAAGTAAGTCATAGTTCGATGATCGTGTATTTTTTTCTCAATATGTATCAGCGTGTCACGGGCAAAATGGCATTAGCACATTCAATTTATTTTTCGTTTAAGGTGAGTATTACATACGTATAGGAAAAATTGACACTAATTAAAAAACACATCAAATGTAAGCTCGTTCAATCATTCAATCATCTATCAACTAAACTTCGTATCTTACAAAAATATCATGCTGCAAAGAAAATTTAATTTCCCAACCGTTGAAACGAGATTCTGTAAATTGTTCTACGCAGGTTTGAAAATAATTAGAATAGCTAAGCGACGCGACGTTCCCAAAATTACCTGTATTTTGTTCCTGTTGGTACTACGGAATTTTATTATTATTATTTAAATACTTTATTGTACCACAAAGTAAATTACAAATTTTCAGAAACAGTAACAGAAATTTTAGTTAGTATTTCTCAGAAATTTCTACTCTTGATAAAATATTTGAAAAACATATTACCCATAAGGAGGTAGAACACAATGGTCCATTACGAAAAAGCACCTATAGTATATTTAACTTGCAGTTATAGACTGCATTCTTTTGAAGTTGTTGCAGATATTATATCTTTTCAAATTTCTTCTAATATTTCGTTATAAATAAATACTCATGTAAAGATATAAAAATAGCTTTTTATATTGCAGGAAGTGGTAAAGAGCAACCCGGATAAAAGTGTGGTATTGTCTGCGTTCTCTGTGTTGACTCCTCTGGCTCAACTTAGCTTGGCGTCGGAGGGCGCATCCCATGACGAGCTTCTCAAGGCTATTGGTCTGCCCAACGATAACGTTGTAAGTAAATTCTGACAAGTTTGATGCATTTAAATGAAAGACGATCTCACATTTTATTACCAATGGTCGAAGCATGTCAGAATTTTTGTGCGTTGGCACAAAACGACACCTGTCAACTCGATCTCGATTAACCAGTCGTTTTTTCCTTTTTAGACAAAACTTGTATTTCCTCGTTTGAATGAAGAGCTGAAATCAGTGAAAGGTGTCGAGCTCAAAACAGCTAGCAAAATATATGTTGCTGATGGTTCCGAATTGAATCCTGAATTTTCTGCGATCACCAAAGATATCTTCAACTCTGAAGTGAAGAATGTCGATTTCACGAAGAGCACGGAAACAGCAAAGGAAATCAATACTTGGGTAAACAGTTCCATCCTTTTCTAAACAATATCTAATAAATGTTTGTCGTTTGAAATTGCTGCGTGTATTAAAAATCGTACTCCTTCGCAGGTTGAAGACCAAACCAACAACCGTATCAAAGATTTAGTGTCAGCTGATGACTTAAGTTCCGACACCCGCAGTGTACTCGTCAACGCTATTTATTTCAAGGTAAGCCAAGTAAATTTATTTCAAGGTAAATCAAGGTAAGTCAAGGTACAAAGTATAGAAAAGATTCAAGTGCTCGGTGTACAAATGAAAAGGAAATATCTGACTGTAATAGATTTTATAAATTATGTATATTTATAAACTCCAATTGGCATCATTCTATTTCACTGACAATTATTCTTATATGTGTTTATAAATTTCAGGGTAAATGGGACAGCCCTTTCAAAAAGGAAAGCACGAAGGACGAAGACTTCCACGTCTCCAAAGACAAAACAATCAAAGTTCCAATGATGCACGTACAAGGCGACTTCAAATATGCTGATAGCGACGAGTTGAATGCTCAGGTAATATAACTAAGCAAGTTTAAAGAACATTATACCCGTTATCAGCTTGAGTTATGTAAAATCACCATCTCTCTAATTCCTAGTATTATTTTATATAAAATATTTTTATACTGATTTATAATACTTACTTCCATAAACATCACTTTTAGTTGTTGGAGATGCCTTACGAAGGAGGTGAAGCCTCTTTCATAGTAATTCTACCTAAAGAAGTTGACGGCATTGCGGCTCTCGTAGACAAACTTAAAGATCCTTCCGCCTTGGAATCAGCCACATCAAAGATGTACACTTTTGATGTCAACGTCTCTTTGCCCAAATTCAAGATTGAAACCAAGACTGATCTTAAAGACGTCCTTCTAAAGGTAAGCATTGACAATAATGTAACTGTCATAACTAGCCAATTTACCTAGGCACCTAAATCAAACCAGGACATAAGTAGACGACGACAACCTATTTACAGTTCCTATAAATATTAAATGTTGGACACTCCCAGATCATATCAGATCTAATATTAAATATTAGATCATACACATATCAAAATAAGTGCACTTGTTTTATGGAAATCTGAAACAACGACGACGACCACAAGCATCCACACCCGAGACAATATAGAAAAGTTTTTTTTTAAATTACATTGACTCGGCCGGGGCGATCCCCGAAAGAAGTTCAAACCTGGAACTTCAGAGATGGCGACACCATGAAAACCGATGTGCAAGCCACTCGACCGCGGGAGTCGTGAAAATGTCAAAATGGTTCTTATGAATGCAACATAAGCATCAGTCACTGTTAGTAATACTCCACAGTGTAGGATTTTCTTTTAATACCAAGTGTCAATACATAAGTATTATATGGTTTATTATATTATGGTTTGGATAGGTGAATGTTATTTATCCATAGAAGCGTACAATACCGATTAAAGGCATTATTTACAAATAATATAAATTTTCTTATCG